TTAAGAAGAAACGAATGTAAACTAAAGCTGCAAAATGGCTATCCAACTTACATGACCATAATTCATGCTTTTATTGGAGCTTAGAGTTACGGACGAGGCATACGTCCCGCCTGTTATTAAGCGGCCATTAAATACAAATTCAAAGGCACCACGCGCCTTGAGATGTAAAGTCGAAGTTTCACTTGTAGTATATGACAGCTGACCGACCCTTCGAGCCGGGTTAATTTCTTCGCATTGTTCAGGCTATATGTATATAGTACTCTTCAGTTACAATAGTTAAATTAATTGTTTTTTCAGCTTTTAAGCTAGCTTATTACCTATCCAGGTCTGACAATACGAAACACCAACTTCAACGTTAGCTTAAAGTTGCTCAGATTTTTGTCCGAAGAATTATGCTCGGAGACTCTTCTGAACTCTCAATAGCCCTATAGATCAGCAAGCTTTAATAGCAATTGGTTTAAATCACGAAATCGATAACTGATGGAGCGAAGGTGTTCAGAATCCAATACTGTATGGTGCAATTGATCTAATCTGAATCAGAAGTAAACCCAAAGCGTGGAGTATCGATTATTGGGGTACACTGTCGGAGAGTCTACATATACGCAGCAGTGATATGGTAAATCCGGGATATAATAATAAGAATAATAAGAAGTCGTCGTGGCCTAAAGGATAAGGCGTCCGATGCATTCGTGTTGAGCGATGTACCGGTGTTCGATTCTAATGAAATACGTACTCAACAATGTTAACGATTGACTTCCACGGTGAAGGAATAACATCGTGTAATAAAAATTAAACCCGCAAAATTATAATTTGCGTAATTACTGGTGGTAGGACCTCTTGTGAGTCCGCACGCGTAGGTACCACCGCCCTGCTTATTTCTGCCGTGAAGCAGTAATGCGTTTCGGTTTGAAGGGTGGGGCAGCCGTTGTAACTACACTGAGACCTTAGAACTTATATCTCAAGGTGGGTGGCGCATTTACGTTGTGGATGTCTATGGGCTCCAGTAACTACTTAACACCAGGTGGGCTGTGAGCACGTCCACCCATCTAAGCAATAAAAAAAAAAGAAAATCAACAATTTATATAATAATAAGGATATAATAATAAGGAATACAACAATGAAATTTATAATTCTTTTTAGACAAGAAAGACTGTCTTTAATTACGAAGACAAAATTATTATTACCAAAATAATATTTTCCTTATCTTTCAGTCTATCGTGAAAACGGCAAGTGTTCGAAAGGTTAGATTAAAAAATAAATAAACAGGGACAACATTAAACCGTAAGACTTTATTTTAAACAAATCAATTTGCCTTTTCTATGAGATCCTTCAATCAAAGTAAATCTATATTCCTTGGTAGCTTTGTAAAATTAACAATTTATTAGGTGATTATTAGTTCGAAGTAAGGCCCAGAGGGGTAAGCTGACGTCTTTATGTCTATTTCTCATTGTTCTTCCTCGTATAAAGGTCAGGTAGTGAACTCCTAAACACAAACTTCAAATAATTAAATACCTTTGAGGCAATTGCTTGCTTCTACTTACTACATTTGATTTGAAAAGTTAACTAATTATTGAAAAGAAATTGAAGTAAACCAATTTTAACTAATCAGTTAACTTTTAGATATAGTATCTGGTCCGGAATAATGATATGTAGCAAATTATTACATTATGAAGGAATCAAATTAAAGAATACTTTAAATTTATTAGACATTGAAATCGATTTATACGATACGGAAGAGTTTCATCATATTTGTTAATCGATTTTTATTGGTTTACTAGCTGACCCGGCAGACTTCGTAGTGCCTCAATCGATAAATAAAAGACCTAAACTTTTGTATAAAATTAACCTAAAATAAACAAAAGGAATCCGTCCGACGGTGGACATATCAAAGGGAAAATAAAATTGTTATTTTTATTTAATTCCGAGCATTTTCATATTATTATTATTATTCATCATGACGTGGGAGGAGCTAGAACAGACTGCCCAAGACCGATATAAATGGAAAAATTTGATTCGAGCCCTACACCCCAGCAGAGGGTAATAGGAAAGAATGATGAATAATGATGATGATGATTTTCATATTTATCTAACTTTTAAACATTCTCTGGACTTCCACAAATAATTCAAGACCAAAATTAGCCAAATCGATCCAGTCGTTCGCGAGTTTTAGCGGGACTAACGAACAGCAATTCATTTTTAAATATATAAATTTATATTAATAGTTTATATTTTGGTGTATTTCCCTAATTTTCGTATTAAGTATTAGTTGTTGAGTATGTAGAGTGCTTGCATATGCCTTATCGTTGTCGCCGCTGACTACTCCCCAAATCTTGATCACACGGGAGCCAGCTACCGTCGATGCCTAAAAACGTCCTTAACGATCCATCGGATCCAATAACTCTTGCATTAGATCCCTTCAGCTCTAATAGTAGGAGCAGGCTTAGAGACCCCGGTAACCGTACTGCAACCTAGCCCATGCATCAGCACGCTGAGTTTCTCACAGGATCTTCTGAGCGGGTCGCGATTCCGATCCGATAGTACACTAATTCGCGAAGTAGCTGCTTTTGGGTTGTTAGGTCTCCTTTGGAGGCGCTCGGGCGGCTGTTAGCAAATCCAAACCCTCCTGGCTGAGCTTTTGTCCTGTACCTGTCCTGGTGAAACTGGAAAGTCATCTGAACCAAGAGTAATCCCACATTCATAAAAAAGTTTGATGGCATTACCATTTATTTATCATATACTTTGAGCTTTGAACGGAATAGAAGAATTTGTAGATTTTTTAAACCTTATCATAAGCTTAACACAAAATAGGAACTAACGGGATAGCCACTTTTCACGGATTTGCGAGCGACTTCTTCGATGAACACGGTTAATAATTAATAATAAAAAAACGAGCCCGCAAAATTAATAATCATTCGTAGTTACTGGTAGGTGTAACGTGTTATACGTGCGCCGAGTTAGTACCAGTATCCTGTCTATCTCCGCATCGAAGCCATTCGCCGTTCAAAGGATGAGATGCCCGTTTAAATTAAGGCTAAGTTAAATTGAGACATCGACCACCTATCTCAGGGTAGGCAGCGGCATTCACATTTTGATGTGATACATTTAACAACATATGAGCCGCGATCTCGTTTACTCATTTATCCCGAAAAATAATCCAAAAAGGTTCGTTCACATTCAAATCGTATCGGTAGCTTATGATGCCGTCATAAGCTACCGATACGATTTGAGATTTAAGATTTTTATCTATGTGTTTATTTCATAAGAAACAGACAAACACATAGATAAAAATCTTGCAATTAAATATCGTTTTCATCAATTATGACTGACTTGGCCGTGAAGTAGTTTGCGACCATAACTATTGCGCCGAGGGTCGTAGGTTCGATTCCCACATCTGGCCAAGATTCGTGTGATTAACAGGTCTGTTTGCTCTTGGTCCAGGTGCTTATTACCTATACATTATTACCTATATAACACATATGAGTATAGTATGAGTATGACACATATTAAACACATATGAGTATCTTTATTAGTCTCTGATACCCTTAACACAGGGAATCCTAAATTGGGTTCGGATAACCGTGCCTGACTTGTTCCCAGTTATTATTATTAAAATTGAGTAAGATAAAAAGGTATTATAATAAAAAAATGTGCAAATACTTGAGAGCTCTCATTTCTGTAAAACATCAAAATGACTTAAACATTGATGTTCCGTCGACGGTAAACTTAAATTTCCGTTTCGTCGCCATTATGATCTTAGTAATCTCAGTAGTAAGAAATTAGTAGACAAGTGATTTGACAGTGTGACTTGAAATTAGTAGACAGACAAGTGATTTGAAATTAGTAGACAAGTGATTGAATATTTATTGACAATATCTGTATTAAACGATTTGTATAAATGTTAATAGTATCTTCGATTCGATCCTGTAAGACTATAATCTACTTTTTGAATTTCGTATTGATTATATTGAAGCCCTCATGGACTAAAGGATAAGACGTCCGATCCATTCGTATCGAGCGATTTAACTATGTCGATATTCGAATTTCGCAGGATTTTTTATAATAAAATACGTACTTATTACATGTTTACGAATGACTTCCACGATAAACTAATAAGATCATGAAATTAAATAAAACCTATACAAAATGTTAATTGCCTGGTCGTAGCCGTTCTACCAGCAATCGAGTATATTTTTTTTACCAAATACCCATTTAACACTTGTTCATGAGTTACCGTAAGCTTATTTACCCGTCTCAGTAAAAATAAAATAAATGTGGGATAGACATAGTATATTATCGAGACATCAACCTCATCTCTTGAGATGGCTACGGTCATATTGTATCGTCCGTGAACTCCGGAAAATACTGAATACCAGATTCGCCAATGATATCGTTTAGCCATCTACAGCAAATACATAAAACATGTTCCGTTTATTTTGTCAAATTGAGATTTCTAAATTATTACCGAGAATATTAAATGTAACTATTCGCAATAATAAGTAATTTCCAAATAAAAAATTCAAAAATTCATTTCATTAACTCAAACATTTTGATTAATTTGGTAATCTAAGACGAACGAAATTTTTAACAGTAACATTAAATACACCGTGATGTCGATAATGCTTAGAATTCGTCACAGCTTACAATACAATACAATCTTACAAAACAGTTATGTAAACTTTACAAACTTCTTGATCGCAGTAGCTAGTTTAGAAGGAAAAACAATTAATAAATTAGCGATTTGCACAATGTTACGTTAATAAACATTAGATAAATATTAGATTATTAACAGCTATTATTAACATAAGAAGACATATGTACATACATATACCTAAAATTTTTTTTAAATAAACCTTTTAATTATCAGTAATTATGTCCTAAAAGTATACATTACTTTTTAATAAAACTAGTGTATTTTCTAGATAACAATTAATTACACTTAACAATTAAACAAATATGGCATTATATAATAAAAAATTTAAAATAAAAAGATTAATCCAACTTTATGCTATATTCAAAGTCCGTAACCAACTTTCAAATGTAGGACCTACAATTTTGGTTCCTTCCATTCCGAGACCGAATGGAGGACTTCCAGAAGTTCTTAGGTAGTACAAACCTCTCGATGTTGTTGAAGAACCATATCCTAGGACAGCATACATGTCTTTTTCACAGGCATTTGCTTCGAAATGCTTCCAACTTTGACATCTGATACCCACAAAAGATTTAGGTGTGGTAACACTCTCTGTGTAGACTTGGGCTGCACGTAAATGACTGCATGATGGCATCATACAACCGGGTTGATTAGGCCCACCACCGTTAATATAAAAGTCTGCGTGTCCAAGAGGTTCAATGATTCCTTGAACTAATCTATTAGAATGCAAAACATCAACATAAAGAGCATCACTTTTATCTAATCTTTGATCACTATAAGCATGTGAAAAACATGGCCCTGCAGGATCTAGTCCAGTTATGCGTCCTATAGAGCGCCGTTTATACAGTCGGAAATATTTACCCGCCCAACCAGCTATGTGTGCACCTAGACTAATTCCCAAAAGATGGAAATCATCAGCGTTCGCCCCAAAATTCTCTAAATTAGCCAATAAATTAGCTAATCTTTTACCTATGAGACGAGCATTGTGAACGCAAGTAATGTATCGTTTATTCATCATGTCTTCTGCATCGACCAAAAATACGTTAAACATCCCTTTCGAATTGTACGATTTTGCAAGTTCCAAGGGAACAGCCGATTGTGAACTGTCTTTGTAACCATGAATAATAATTTTAACTTGTTTCGTGATATCGAACATGGCCGGTTTTGTTAAATTGACAAATGCTTCATNAGCATTGTGAACGCAAGTAATGTATCGTTTATTCATCATGTCTTCTGCATCGACCAAAAATACGTTAAACATCCCTTTCGAATTGTACGATTTTGCAAGTTCCAAGGGAACAGCCGATTGTGAACTGTCTTTGTAACCATGAATAATAATTTTAACTTGTTTCGTGATATCGAACATGGCCGGTTTTGTTAAATTGACAAATGCTTCATTAATAGGAAAAGTTCTCATTGTGCTTCCATCTAATTGGATTATTTTTAACGTCCTTATCATGTCTACTTGTGTTAGCGAAACGCTATGGCTTAAATCCATGATTGCTCTACCTGCAAATTACAAAACACTGTAGTAAACATTGCACATAAACCTCATTGACATAGATTAATAATAAAAATAACCACTCACATGCACCGGATAATCTGACGTAAATGTTCTCCACGAAGCTTAGCTCAGGTTCTGAACGGCGCACTGTATTCAGGGTGGCACCTTGTGCCATGACCATAAAGTGAACAGCTATCAGCACGATTACCCTATGTCGGCACATGGCATAAGCCCTCCGCCGCGGACACGGTCACTGTGTCACTGTCTGCAAAGAGAGAAAGGTCCGTCTCGTGTAAGCAGCAAGGCACAATCATTGGGAGGGGGCTATCTGGTACAAATAACGTGCACCGCACACGCCGTCACAAGGCCACTGACCGTTTTACTCCAATTTACTATCAACAATCGCCAAACGCCTGTTGAAGCGTGTGCTCTTGCTAAGACGAATATTGTGCAACTACTGTAGAAAACGTAACTATAAATCTAGTAAATAGTCGTTTACGTACATAACAACAAAATTCCATGTTCTTAGTATCTAAAATTTATAAAAGGATAGTCAAAAGAAAATAAAATTAAATTCCGATTAAAAGTCTTTGTCCACTGTACTTGAAGTGAGCGTTATTATTAACCCCATGTATTGCTTTCAATTTAAAATTTTAGAAGTAGCTTAAATAGTTCTTAACTTCTTATTTGTGATGGAACGTATTGTAAGTCCTTATGGGTCGGTGGTCCCACGGGCTGAAAGAGGGAGAAAAGACTACAGAGCAACTGCTTAAAAATACTAAGGAAGTATTTTTGAAAACATTAAATATAAATATTCAAGATTGTGAAATAAACAAGATTTATCGTATAGGGAAAGAAATCAAAGGTAACAAACCTAGGCCGACACTCTTATCCTTTGTTAGTGGATTGAAAAAAAACGAGATATTAAGGAATAAGAAGAAGTCGAAGGAAATAACATTCACAGAAGACTACTCTAAAGATATTTTAGAAAAGAGGAAAGCACTAATACCACAATTAACAGAAGAAAGAAATAAAGGCAAAATCGCTTACCTAAAATACGATCAACTCATAGTAAAGGAAAAATCAAACACATATTATGAGAAAAGAAAAAGGGAGGTATCTACTTCTCCGCAATACTCTCAGCCAAAAAAACAACAAATTTCATCTTCATCGAAGGAGATAGTGAACGTATATGACATGATGAGAGCTAGGTCCAACTCTCTTACCTCTACAACCTGTTCAAGAGACAAAAAATCATAGCAATTGGATATCGGCGAACGGAATCAAAAAACAATCTGTAAACAACTTTACAAATCAATAATAGCAAACAACCCTCCCCCAAGCCGGCTGGTCCCCGTGGGGGAAAAAGACCACAACCCTCCAGCAAAAATTAACATTAATAATACAACTAATGCAACCAAAACAACTGGCATAACAAAACCACTACAACCAACCCTCAAAATTGGAACATTAAATGTAAGATCA